GGGGCGGTGCACTGTTGGACCTCGAGCCCCGAGACCCCTGGCAGGAAGTCGAGGTCGAGCGCCTCGTCAGCGAGGGTGGCCCAACCGATGGATTCGCAGATGTCGAGGAGCCCATGCGCCCGCGGTGCTGCGCAGCGCGCTGCAAGCTCCTCGCGCAGCGCGCGCTCACAGGCTTCGCAGGAGGCCGCGTTGCCCCTGGCCATGGCGCCCTGGTGCGCGAAGCAGTCCTTGCTCCACTCTTGTGCTTGATCCTCTCTGGCCATGGACCAGAATCGGGCGAAGGAGGAGGAGGAGGAGGAGGTGGAGGAGGAGGAGGAGGAGGAGGAGGCCGAGGGCGCGATCGCCGTTGTCCTTCTTGGCCCGCGCGACCCCTGCGGCGAGCAGGACTTGGTGGGGTCGCGTCTGTGCCTGCTCGGCCACGTTGAGCATCGCGGCGGCCTCCTCCAAAGCAGGCTCTGGAAGTCGGAATAGCTCGGCGGGCCGAAGTCGGTCCGCCCCCAAGGCGGCGCCGGCCCGCTGTCGGCGTAGAGCTCGACGCATGTCCGTCGCAGCTAGCGGCGGCGTGGCAGTGAGGGCACGCGCATAAACTGCCCGAGTGGCCTCGCCCAGCAGCCTGCTGGACCCGGCGCGCACCTGTGGGTTCGCTTCCGCTCTTCCTTTCCATCCCAGATTGCCAGATTGTTGTCATCTTCGTGTGTTCGCACATGAACGCGCAGGACGTCATCATTTGCAAGATCAGTGCCAGCTTGGCATGAGGCAGCACGGTGGCCGATGAGCTGGCAGGAGGAGCTGCCCGCAATGCCAGGGTGCCCCACGCTGATCGCCAGCGCCGCGCATTATCTGAGCAAACAGCTTTCCTCGTTCGCACGAGGCTCTTGTTCGCAGCGTTAGAAGCCCTTGAACATGATAGAGCAGAGTGTCAGTGTCAGGGGGGGCCGCGCTCAACGCGGCTGGAAAGGCCCGGCTCTCGCCAGACCGCCTTCCCCAGAGTGCGTGCCCTTCTCGGTTCTCAGCACCCGGTGGATTCAACGGGGTGCAGGCGCACCAGATGTAGGAACTCGGCCTCCGAGGCCTCTACTAGGCAATGGCTTCAGACAGCATGCGATGACCCCACCCCCCCTTGGGAAACAGGTGCACACGGCGGGGGGAAACGCTCATGCTGCCAACCGTTGCAGCTTCCAGGATGGGCCGAGTCTTTGGTTCTGCTCCCGCTGTGGGTTTGTAGCCAATCGAGGCCTCGGTCAGCTGGGGGGGCCCCTGCGCCGAGCCCACAGCCACGGGAAGGGAGCATCCTCGTAGAGTCCACGCGAACCTTTGGCGCAGTGTTCTCCGCAAAGGTGAGCGGGCCACGAGGCGCACAGCGACCCAGCACGAGGCTGCGGCTATAAAAAATCATTCAAATCGCTGCGCGATCGGACAGCGACTCCAGAGACGCCTCCTCATCATCATCCTCCTCTTCCTCCTTCTCCTCCCCCCCTCCCCCCCTCCCCCTCCTCCCCTCCTCCTCCTCCTCCTCCTCCTCCATGCTCCTCATCCTGATCCTCCTGTTTCTCCTCCTCCTCCTTTTCCTCCTCCTCCTCATCATCATCATCACCCCCCTCCTCCTCCTCCTCCTTCTTCTCCTCCTACTCCTCCTTCTCCTCCTCCTCCTCCTCCTCCTCCTCCCGCTCCTATCCTCATACGAAATCCTCCCCATCTTTCTGGTGCTATTCCACCTCGTCGTTTTCTTCGTTTTCCTCCTCTTCCCCCTCTACGTCGTCATCGACCTCCTCCTTGTATTTCTCCTCCTGCTGCTCCTCCTCCTCCACCTCCTCCGCCTGCTCGCCGTGCTCCTCCTTGTATTGCTTGTAGTCCTCCCCGTGTTCCTCGTCCTCTTCCTCTCCCTCCTCCTCCTCCTCCTCCTTCTCCTCCTCCTCATCGGAATGCTCCTCTTCCTCCTCCTCCTCCTCCTCCTCCTCCTCCTCCTCATCATCATCATCATCCTCCTCTTCCTTCTTCTTCTCTTTCTCGTCCTCCTCCTGCTCCTCCTGCTGCTGCTCCTCCTCCTCCTCCTCCTCCTTCTCCTCCTCCTTCTCCTCCCTTTCGTCCTTGCATCCTTCCTCCTCCTCCCTTTCCTTGTCGTCCTCCCCGTCCTTTTTCTCATCCTCTTCCTCCTCCTCCTCCTCCTCCTCCTCCTCCTCCTCCTCCTCGACATCAGCATCGTCATCATCATCATCATCATCATCATCATCATCATCATCATCATCATCAGCAGCATCAGCATCAGCATCAGCATCATCAGCATCATCAGCATCATCATCATCAGCATCATCTGCATCATCATCATTACCATCATCATTACCATCATCATCAGCAGCATCAGCATCATCATCACCATCACCAGCACCAGCATCAGCATCAGCATCAGCATCAGCATCATCATCATCATCATCATCATCATCATCATCATCATCATCATCATCATCATCATCATCATCATCATCAGCATCAGCATCAGCATCAGCATCAGCATCAGCATCAGCATCATCAGCATCGTTTTCCTTCTCCTACTCCTCCCCCTTGTCCTCTCTTCCTCCACCGCCTCCTTTCCCTCCTCGTCCTCCTATTCCCTCCTCTTATTCGTTCCCTCAGCCATGGCAGGACTGTTTTCGCACTTCCCGTGCCGCTTCCAGGAGGCTCTCTCGTCAGGGATGCCCTCAAGCAAGTAGCGTTTTAGCCTGGTCCCGTCCCCTTCCTCCATTATTCCTTCGCGCAGCATATCGGAGCTCGTTCCTCCTTCCTTTCTCCTCCCCCATCCTGCCTCCTCGCTGCCCGCCGCGATCTAGTCGAGGCATCGCCACGAATTGCGCCAGCATGGCTCCCCCCTGCTCAGCCAGATCACCTCGCGCACATTTTCTGAGAGCCCAAAGTTGCGAGGAGGTCTCAAGCGAAACGTGCTGGACCACCCCGCGCACATCTTCAAGGAGCCCAGAGTTACAATGATGTCTCAGGCGAGACGCGCCATACCACCTCGCGCGCAGCGTCTCGGAGCCCCGAGTTGCGAGGATGTCTAAGGCGGAACGGGCTGGACCACCTCGCAGGCGACTCTGGGGGCTCAGAGTTCTTCTCGGAGCCCAGGTTCGCGAGGATGTCTCATGCGAGACGGGCCCGACTAGTTCTGGCGCAGCATCTCGGAACCCAGTTCTGAGGAGATCTCAAGCGAAACGCGCCAGACCACCTCACGCACATGTTCTGAGGTCCCAATTTTGCGAGGAGGTCTCAAGCGAAACGAGCTGGACCACCCCGCGCACATCTTCAAGGAGCCCGGATGTGCGAGGATGTTTTAGGCGAGACGCGCCAGACCACCTCGCGCGCAGCATCTAGGAGCCCCGAGTCGCGCGGATGTCTCAGGCGAAACGGGCTGGACCACCTCGCGTGCGACATCTGGGAGCTCAGTTCCGAGCAGGCGGCGCCCAGATTCCTCCCAGAGCCCAATTCGATAATAGAGGTGTGATCACATGATTCATTTGGGTCTGACTCCTCCTCCCTCTCGGAGCCCAGGGTTTCGAGAAAGGGAGCCCCGAGTTGCGAGGATGTCTCAGGCGGAACGGGCTGGACCACCTCGCAGGCGACCTCTGGGGGCTCAGAGTTCCGAGGATGTCTCAGGCGGCGCCCAGACCCTTCCCAGAGCACAATTCGACAACAGAAGTGTAATCAAATGGTTCGTTTGGGTCTGACTCCTCCCTCCCTCCTTTCTCCTCCCTCTCGGAGCCCAAAGTTTCGAGGGTGTTTCAGGCGAAACGGGCCAGACCACCTCGCCCGCAGCATCTCGGAGCCCCGAATTTCGATGATATTTCAGAGCTCAGAGTTTCAAGGATGTCTCGGGCGAAATGAGCTGGACCACTCGCGCAGCATCTCGGAGCTGACGGGCGCGAGGATGTCTCAAGCGAAAGGCGCCAGACCACCTCCTCGCGCGGCATCTCGTAGGCCAGAGTTGCGAGGATGTCCCAGGCGATGCGAGCCGGATCATATTGCGCGCGGCAGCTCGGAGCGCAAAGTTGCGAGGATGTCTCAGGCGAATTGAGCTGGACCACCTCGCGCGCGGCATCTCGGAACCTGGAGGTGCGAGGATGTCTCAGGCGAAACGGGCCAGACCGCCTCGCGCGCGGCACGTCGGAGGCCAGAGTTGCGAGGATGTCTCAGGCGAAACAGGCCAGACCACCTCGTGCGCGGCATCTCGGAGCTTAAAGTTACGAGGATGTCTCAGGCGAAACGGCCTGGACCAGCTCGCGAGCGGTGTCCCAGAACCCAAATGTCCGAGGATGTCTTAGGCGAAACGGCCGGGAGCACCTTTCGCGCGGCAGCTCGGAGCTCAGAGTTTCGAGGACGTCTCAGGCGAAACTGCCCGGACCAGCTCGCTCGCGGCGTCCCGGAGCCCAGATTTTCGATGATGTCTCAGGCGAAACGGCCAATCCCGGACAACTCAGAAACGAGAGTTGTGAGGATGTCTCAGGCGAAATGGCCTGGACCACCATATTGTTTTGAGGATGTCTCTGCTCCCCTCCCCCCCAGCCGGAGTTAGCTTCTATCACGACAGCACCCCGTTCAGCAAACTCTTCGGGGAATCGGGACAATCTATGATTTTTACCTCCTTGGGGCCCTGCTTTTGGAAGCCTCTTGCAGCGTCTGAGAGGTGTCTTGGACCGTCTGGAGGCCATCTCTGGCGTCTGGGACGGATAATTCGGCGATTAAGGGCCCTCTTGGCCCGTCTTGGATCAAGGGACAATTGGCGTTCACTAAACGGCCCTGGGCGTTTACTAAACAGCCCTGCCCTGTTCGATTCCTTCTTTGGGAGCGTTTACTAAACGACTTTGCGTGTCGGAGTGGTTATTCTGGGGGTAGATTTTTTGACTCCTATTGGAGGCCCTAATGGATACTCTTCACCTGTCTTTGGGTTTGTTGGGCCCCGAGCCACCCGCAGGCACCACCCCCGGGCGCGCGGGCGCGGCGCCGGTGCCCAGGAGCGCGACCCGACGATCTACAGGGCCGCCGGCTGTCTGGAGCTCCAGGCAGCCGGCCCGCGGCCGCGTCGCGCAGCATTCTGCGCACGTGTGTACGTCTGTACGCACGTCTGCGCATGTGCGTAGGCACCGGCCGTAGAGGCCGACCGAAATCAGATGCGGGGATGTCGCGGTTGGCGTTGCCGGGGAGCGCGCCGTTTTGTGCCAGGTTTGGGGCCCTGAGGGTCCCAAGCCCCTCATGAATGTATGTGTGTACCGCCGCATCGGCCGATTGAAGACGCAGGGGATGCCGCGATGGGCGTGTCGGGGCAACACGTCGATGGGGGCCAGGTCTGGGCTGGAGTCTCCGCCGATTGAAATTACAGCTCCTCCTCCTCCTCCTCCTCCTCCTCCTCCTCCTCCTCCAGCTCCTCCTCCTCCTCCTCCTCCTCCTCCTCCTCCTCCTCCTCCTCCAGCTCCTCCTCCTCCTCGTCCTCCTCCTGGTCCTTCTCCTCCTTCTCCTCCTCCTCCTGGTCCTTCTCCTCCTCCTCCTCCTCATCCTCCTCCTCCTCGTGCTCCTCGTGCTCCTCCTCCTCCTCCTCCTCCTCCTCCTGGGGCGGGGCGGGCACGACATGTGGATCGGGGGCGGAAAAGAGGACATCATGGCGGGGGGAATGATATTTCCCCAGATTTCATGGCGCCTCTTCTTATTTCAATACGATCCTGGCTCCCAACCTGGGCAGCGCACATGCCGCCGGCCATGATGTGCACCCCCCCCTCTTGGACACCCCTCTCTTGGCCGCTCCCGAGCGGATCCTCCCACCGGGGCCTTCGTAGGGCTCATTTCGACTCCTCCGATTCGATTTGATTTCGATGGCTTCCGATTCCGACCCGATTCGACTTGGGATTCCGGTCTGCGCTCCGACTTCTTACTGGAGGCATACCAGCCCGCCGATTTCCGCCGATTCGACTTTTCCCGACTCGGCTGCCGATCTCTGCCCACTCGATTAATTTCGATCGCCGATCCGACTTATCGATTCGGTTATGGGCTCTCCTGCCTTCGGCGGAGCTCGTTGTTCGGGGCGATCGAAATGGGTACGGAAGCAATGGGTACAAAGTCCAGCAGCAGTTCCTGTTCCTTCTGAGCAGGGTTCGGTGGGCGTCGCCGCGGTCGCTGTCCATGCGATACAGAAGGCTGCCTGCCTCACAGCGGCCGCTGTCGGTTTTGAACAGCATTTGTGGTTGGGCATCGTACCTATCTTCTTCGTACCCATTTCGGGCGTCCAAAATTGTGGGGCAACGCGGCATGAGCATGTGCGCATTGCACCAGGACGGGGCCGGGTACGCACGCCATGCGGATCCTGACATTGGGGCCTGCAGTGGAGCTCCTTGTGGGGCTACGAAGCGTGCGAGGGGTGTGCCATATCGCTGCCATGTGCGTCGTACGTCCCCTGCCGCCCGGGCCTTCGGTGGAGCCCTCGACGCCGGATGCGGCCGCGCTCGGCCTCGCCCAGTCCGCCCCCTCAGCGGTGACCGCCCTCCCGCTCTCCCCATCCCGCGTGGCCCCTCCTCCTCCTCCTCCTCCTCCTCCTCCACCTCCTCCTCCTCCTCATGCTCCTCGTCCTCCTAGTGCTCCTCCTGCTCCTCCTTCTCCTCCTCCTCCTCCTCCTCCTCCTCCTCCTCCTGCTCCTTCTGCTCCTCCTGCTCCTCTTCCTCCTTATCCTCCTCCTCCTCCTCCTCCTCGTCCTCCTCCTCCTCCTCCTCCTTCTCCTCCTCCCCCTCCTCCTCCTCCTCCCTCCTCCTCCTCCTCCTCCTCCTCCTCCTCCTCCCCCTCCTCCTTCCCCTCCCTCCTCCTCCTCCTCCTCCTCCTCCTCCTCCTCTCCTTCTCCTTCTCCTCCTCCTCCTCCTCCCTCATGCTCCTCGTCCTCCTCGTGCTCCTCCTGCTCCTCCTTCTCCTCCTCCTTCTCCTCCTCCTCCTCCTGCTCCTCCTGCTCCTCCTGCTCCTCTTCCTCTTCCTCCTTATCCTCCTCCTCGTCCTCCACCTCCTCCTCGTCCTTCCTCCTCCTCCTCCTCCTCCTCTCCTTCTCCTCCTCCCCTCCTCCTCCTCCTCCTCCTCCTCCTCCTCTCCTCCTCCTCCTCCTCCTCCTCCTCCTCCCCCTCCTCCTTCCCCTCCTCCTCGTCCTCCTCCTCCTCCTCCTCCTCCTCCTCCCTCCTGCTCCTCACCTCCTCCTCCTCCTCGTCCTCCTCCTCCTCCTCCTCCTCCTCCTCCTCCTCCTCCCCCTTCTCCTTCCCCTCCTCCTCCTCCTCCTCCTCCTCCTCCTCCTCCTCCCTCCTCCTGCTTCTCCTCCTCCCCCTCCTCCTGCTCCTCCTCTCCTGCTCCTGCGCCTCCTCCCTCGCTCCTCCTCCTCCTGCTCCTGCTCCTCCTGCTGCTCCTCCTCCCTCCTCCTCGCTCCTCCTCCCTGCGTCTCTTCTCCTGCTCCTCCTCCTCCTCCTGCTCCTCCTGCTTCTCCTGCTCTTCCTCCTCCTCCTCCTCCTCCTCCTCCTCCTCCCTTTCCTGCTCCTCCTCCTCCTCCTCCTCCTCCTCCTCCTCCTCCTCCTCCCTCGCTCCTCCCTCGCTCCTCCCGCGTCCTGCCCGGCTTGCTCGTCACGGGGACGCCGCCTCGCGTTCGGTGGAGCCTGCCTGACCAGAGAGGGGCCCCTTGTCCTCGCCTCGTGCTGCCTCCACGGGGCACATCCAAGGGGGTGTCGGCTTCTCGCCACCCGTGGTTCGCTGCACAGTTGCGCTGCTCAGTACAGTCAACTCGCCTAGTAAGGACGCGTGCCTTCATCTAGGATGCCCTTGAGACCTTGCCTCTGCGGCCCGTCCTTCGCCGTTTTCACTGGCCGCCCCCCGCCCCAAAAATCCAACTTCGGCCTCCAAGGGTCTTGCGTCCTTACCACCCGTCCTTAATATACGTTTTGACTGTAGTTGCCTGCCGCGGTCTGCTAAGATGTCGTGCGTCCCTCCGTCGGTCACACGCCGGGAGCGCATCGGATTCTCGTCATGCATGGCAGTGCTCAAGGGCCTGTGCGGAGCAGAGCGCGCGTTGCGCTTGTCGCCGGGCGCTCGGACACGCGTGTCCGCACTCGTTTTCTGTTATGTCTCTCCTCTCTCTGTGTCTCTCTTTCTTTCTATTGTCTGTTTATGTATACAGTGTGGTGTCTCTTCCTCTCTGTCTCTCTCTTTCTCTCTTTCTCACTCCTTCTCCCTCCTCCTGCTCCTCCTCCTCCTCCTCCTCCTCCTCCTCCTCTAGTCGGTTTGACTTTTCGTGATGAGTGACCTCTGGGTGGGGCTGTCTCTCCCCGCCGGACGAGTGCGAGAAGGAGGATCTGGGTGATGAGAGGGAGGAGGAGCAGCAGAAGGAGGAGGAGGAAGATCTGGGTGGTGAGAGGGAGGAGGAGCAGCAGGAGGAGGATCAGGAGGAGGAGCAGCAGGAACATGAGTAGGTTAATCTTCCTCCCCGTCCCGTGCCTGGAGGTTCCCGAAGGGCACCGCGTGCTCATGAAGACGGAGGGGGTCTTCTCGGACTTTTGCGAGCTGGTCGCGCAGGACGTGACCTTCAAGCCACCGCCTCCGAATGTCTACGAGCTGAGGCCCCTCCTCTCCTCCGCTTCGACCCAGCGAGTCTCGAGTTGTCTTACTTGTCTTGGCAAAGGTCGACACGCCCGAGGCTCTAGGATCGAGGTTTCTGATGTTTTTGCTCGCCGTGTCCTAGTCTCCAAAGGACACGCTCGTCGGCACAGCTGGCTCCGCTTCGGAATTCGGTCAGAGCGCACCCCAGTCCGTCCTCCTCCCCAGACCACCTATGCTTGGACAAACGAACAAGGCCGATACGTATAATATGTTCGTCCTTCGGGAGCGTCGTGATCGGATTCCAGCAGGGAACGATCCGGGACGAGCAAGTTGTTTCCGGGAAGGTATCGGTATCTTGTGCTGAACAATTCAGGACACCAGAGGTTTGGGTCTTGTTCCTACCAGAGGTTTGGGTATTGCTCCTCCTCTTCCGTCTCCTTCCCTCCGCCTCCTCCTCCTCGTACTCCTTCTGCTGCTCCTCCTCCTCCTCCTCCTCCACGTCCTCCTCCTCCTCCTGCGGGCACTGCAGAGGCCAAGCATACAGTGCACATCTGACCCATGGGCACTAGCACAGGACTGACGTCGTGAAATCACCTCCAACAGTGAGCTAATTGGCTGTTGGGGTGAGCGGATTCGACATGACGCACTGGGAAGCTTACCTGCAAGGAGGGCATGCTTCTCTGTTTGCTGTTGGTGGGCTCACGCTCAGACCTTAAAGCTTGATGGCTTCCTGGGTCCCAAACGCTCCGCACCTGGAGCAGAACACGACCAGGAACCCAGACTCGTCCACAGAAGCAACGGGAAGGAGTGTCCGAGGTGGCCAGGCTCTTGGAGAATCATTCTGATTGACGGGTTGAGCGCCAACAGCATGGGGCCTCGGTGAGCGCCGTAACGGTGCGGAGGCAGCAGCTGCCCCTCCAGGGATCCATATGCCAGCACATAAAGTGCGGGGAGGTGGCGGGTCTCCCGGCACGAGGCTTCGCAAACCCCTTTATCCGGCCCACCAGGCAAGTCGGCTAGGGGAGGGCCAAAGCGCCAGGACCTTGCACACATTCCTAAAGATCCGGTTCCTTAGATTGCCTGCGCGAGGAAAGTACGATATCGGAAGTGCTAGGGGCAAAGTCGTGCACCCCAGCTCCCTTGCCCGCAGGCCAGGCTGCAGCTGCATTCCCACGGATGTTCTTGTCTGTCGGATTCTGAGTTGGTTGAGTCTTCAGCTCCGTGGGCCTTCACGTTGTGGAAGGGCACCTATTCACCAAGCTCTAGAATCGCGGCTACCTCGCGCCAAAACTGAGTGGCGTCACATCTCGCCGCCAACACTTGGTCAGGATGGGCCTGCGCTCGCGGGAGAGCAGCAACATACACAGCCCCGGGGCTCGAAGAATTGCTGTTCTCTTCACGCTCTGCGTGCAGATACGCCACCATGACTGCAAGCAGCTCGCTTGCTAAACTGGCCTGTCCAGAACTCGCGGGGCTTGTCCGTCAATGCCTGGCTGAAGGCTCCTTGGGCGTCCAGATCGCCGCCCCCCCGCCCCGCTCTCGCCAGGTATCCCAGAGTCGGCCTCGGGCGGGAAGTGTCCGAAGAATGGTTGTCATGTGGCGAGAGCGCGAAAGAGGTTAAGCTGTGTCCATCTTGATGGAACTTGACATCCCATTCCTGCTCTGGGTCACTTCGAGTTCCCCCCTCTTGGGACTCTCTTGGGGCTCTCCTGGGGCCCTCGTGGGGCCGTCGTGGGCCGTTGTGGGGGCCTCTTGGGCCGTCTTGGGCCCCTCGGGGGCCATCTGGGGGCCCTCTTGGGAGCTTCTTGGGTTGTCTTGGGGCGATCTTAGAGGCCTCTTGGGCCGTCTTGGAGCGTCGGAGGCCCGAAAGGGCGAGAACGCTAGAATCGTTTTTGGACAAATTCATGATTTCGGCCTCTCGGGGCCCTCGTGGGAGTCCTCTTGGATACCTCTTGGACTCCACGAGGGCCTCTCAGGCCGCTCTGAGGCCATCGTGGGCCGTCTTGGAGCGATCTGGAACCATCTCGAGGCTCTCCTGGACCGTCTTGGGCGCCTTTGGGGGCTCTCGCGAGGCGTCTGGAGGCCCTCTGGGACGAGGACGGCCCTCCGCACGGCTGGGACGAGCGTCCCCGGCCGGGGCGCCGAGGCGCCTAGCCAGCTCACCGTCGACCGTGGCCCCGCCGCCGTCGCATCTCGCCCGCGCCCTGCGGCCGCGGCTTCACGCCGTGGGTCGCGGGCGGGGCCCGCTGGTGCACCCCTCGACGAACCTGCCGCCTGCCTTGCAGGTTCGGCTCTGCTCTCTCCTGCCCACCGCCCGTCGGGGCCACGGGCTTGCCGGCAGCGCGTCTCCCAAGCAGCCGCCGCAGCCGCTGCCGCCGCGGGAGGGACACGCCGGTCCCCGCCCTCGGCGACGCCGCTGGCCGCCGCCGCTGTACGGCCACCATGGCCCATCATGCCGCGGGAGGGACACCCCAGTCCCCGCCCCGGGCGCCGCTGCTCGTCGGCGGCGACCGGAGGGAGGATGGAGGAGGGAGGAGGGAGGAGGGAGGTTGCCTTGCTCCGCTCAACTACTTCCACGGCTTCCGGTGCACGCCTTTCTGGCTGTGGGCGGGCCTCCCGCCGTGGGGGCGAGCCCCGTCGGCGTGCCGAGGTGGTGGCAAGGCTCACGCACCTCCCCGCTCCCTCGCCTCGTTGGCCGCGCCTTCCTGTGCGGCAGGCCTGGTGGAGGAGGGATTTTGTCGGGATCCCGCACAGGGTGTGTGTGTGTGTGTATGTGTGTGTGTGTGTGTGCGTGTGTGTCTGTGTGTGAGTTCCCCCTCCGCGGCCACCCCCTCTGCACTCTCCCCGCTCTTGCACGCTGGCCTACTCGCTTCTCGGTGCCCCTGTTTAGCCCTATCGCTGGTGCAGCCTCGCCGCCGACGAAAAAATGTGTGTGTGTGTGTCTGTGTGTGTGTGTCTGTGTCTGTGTCTGTGTCTGTGTCTGTGTCTGTGTGAGTTCGATCGGTTTATGCACCGAACCGCCCACAACAGATGCCTCCCAGCCGCCGGCAGCTCCCGATAGTTGCCGAACGGTGGGGCATGCGGTGGGCATCTGCTTGCGGCAGGTCGGTGCACCAGCGGATCGAACTCCTGCCCCCCTCTGTCAGGGTCCCCCCCCCTTTGGTGGAGCCCGATCTCGGGGCGACCGTGCCCGAGCGTCGCTGGCGCCTGGGTCCAGCCGCCCTTTCAGTGCGGGGGGAGGCCTCTGCGCCCCCCCCCCCCCGGCGCCTGCGCCTCTTCTGCCTCTTCAGCCCTTCGCGGCCCGTGCCACGCCCGGCAAGTTCGTCGCGGGTCGTCCTGCGATACCTTCGCTCTCGGTGAGGCCTGCTTGCCCAGAGAGAGCTGCCTCGACAAAGCAACTCTTGTTCCGCCGAGGGCACAACAGGTGGTGGCGGCATCGTTTTCGCTCTCGGTGAGGGCCTGCTTGCCCAGAGAGCTGCCTCGGCGTTCCGCCGAGGGCGCAACAGATGGTGGCGGCATCGTTTTCGCTCTAGGTTAGGGCCTGCCTGCCCATGGAGAGTTGCCTCGTTGCTCCGCCGAGGGCACAGCCAGTGGTGGCGGCCTCCGTCCATCCGTGGCCCACCGCACTAATCAGCGCTGTATTGGGGCTGCCGGCCGCGGCTCCGTCTTCGGTCGCGGCGTCCCAATGCGGTCGCACGCCGAACGCGCTCAGGGTTGATGCTTTCACCTTTATTCTTTCAGCCTCGTGAGGATAAGAGCGCGCTCCACTGCCAGAATATGTCCACATCCACTGCTTCGGAGTTGTGCTCTGAGGTCTCGGGCAGCGGTGGATATGGATATCTGCCCGCCCGCATGGGCGGAGCATGCTCACAACCTCATGGGGATAACCGACGAAAAACAAAACGCCA